GACGTGTACGTCTGCGGGAAGACCATTAACCTGCTGAAGCTCTGCTGCCCCCGGGTGAGGAGGGGCTCACGCATGGGGAGGGGAGGGGCCAGTCTTCCCCAGGGCTGAGTCTGAGGCTGGGGCTGAATGCTGGTGGCTGTGCCTACATCGCCTTTGGCAGCATTACCTCTGTTGGTCCGACGTCCCCGTCCCCCGGATCTCGGTGATTTTCTCCCTCGAGGAGTTGAAGGAGATTGAGAAGGACTGTGCCGTCTACGTCGGGCGCATGGAGAGGGTGGCCCGCCACAGCTCTGTCAGCAAGGAGGAGAAGGTGCGTGGCACCACGGGTCTCGGGGGCTTTCTTTGCCCCACCTCTGCTTCCTGGGGTTTCAGGTTGGTGGGGTGGACCGTGAGGGCTGTGCAAGATGGGGGCCTCCCTTCTGGCATTTTCTGTCCTGGCGGTGGCCAGGGTGGGTGCCAAGGGGGAGCTGAGACGAATATCCTGGAGCCAGATGCCAGGCAGGGGCTCTGTTCTCTCCTCCTGGGTTTGGGTGGCTCAGCCTGAAGCCCAGGTTTTGCTGGCGTGGGAAACTATGCTGGGGCTTTCCCTGGGCCCGCCGGCTGTGGACAGACAGTCCTGGTTGCACTCCAGGGCGGCAGGGCCTGTGGTCCTGTACTCAGATGGCCTTTGCAAGTCCTCCTTCTGCTGGGAAGGGACAGTGTGTCAGGGACGAGCCACGCCTCTCCTGTGTCCTCTGGGAGGGGCTCGGTAGTACAGTCAGTGCCATTCCGAGGAACACTGTTTCTGGCCCAGTGCCTGGTGGGCAGCAGGGATACCTGGGCAGGGGCAGGCCTATGAGGCTGAGTGGGGAAGCCCCCTCTCTTAGGCCCCTTGGTTTCCTTCCAGGGTAGGCACACACAGCCTGGGGTCCTCAGCCCCAGATGTCTCTGTGAGAGCTGGTCAGCTCCCGTCCATGGCCTGGAGCCAGCTTTGCCACTGCTGAGAGGCTGGGGGTGGGTGTCCTGCCATCACCTGGTCCCTCCCCGAACCCTTGGACCATGTGTCTCCCCTGCCGGCCCTGAGTCCACAGGTGTCCTGGGCATCCTAGGTGAGGGGTCAGAGGATTAGGTTTTTTTTTCTTTGAGACAGGGTCTCACTGTGTGGGCCAGGAGGCTGGAGTGCAGTGGCTCGAACATGGCTCACTGCAGCCTCCACCTCCCAGGCTCTAGAGATCCTCCTGCCTCAACTCCCCCCACCCCCCACCCCCCCCAAATAATTGATACTACAGGCGCCCGTCACCACACCTGGCTAATTTTTGTATTTTTAGTAGAGGTGGAGTTTTGCTATGTTGTCCAGGCTGGTCTCAAACTCCTAAGCTCAGGTGATCTACCCACCTTGGCCTCCCAAAGTGCCAGGATTACAGGCGTGAGCCACTGCACCTGGCCAGGATGCTTTGTTTAACCAGTTGTCTTTCTCAGGAATTACGTATGGAAATTGCAAAACAAGAATTAATTGCTCATGCCCGGGAAGCAGCATCCAGGGTCCTGAGTGCACTGAGTGGTGAGTGGCCCCAAGTCCTCCCTTCTGCAGTTTCGGGGGTCCTTGCTGGGGCCTCCTTGTGACATTGCACCCCTTACTGTCCCTATGTAGACCGGCAGATGTCAGAACGGATGGCCTTGGATGCCCGAAAGCGCGAGCAGTTTCAGAGGCTGAAAGAACAGTTTGTGAAGGACCAGGAGGTGGGTAGGACCTGTCCCTGCGGGGTCAGGCCCGTGAGTCCTGATTTCACAGGCCAGGCTGTGTTTTATAGCGACGCCAGGCGGCCAGGCAGGAGGAGCTGGATGATGACTTCAGCTACGCCCGTGAGCTCCGAGACAGGGAAAGGAGGCTGAAGTCCCTGGAGGAGGAGCTGGAGAGGAAGGCGAGGTAGGGCAGCCGGGGCTCCAGGCTTGGTGCAGTGTGGCAGGGGCCCCGTAGCTCTGGCTTAATCTTACTGATGATTTTACTTTTTTTGAAAACCTTCAAGCAACTTTAAGGTAGAAAGAGCAATATGCTGAACCCAGAGTGGCTGTGGCCGTTCTGCATGTTGTCTTGTGGGTAGTTTGTATGGATTAGGGTCCAGGCGAGGCCTGCATATTGTTTGGGGTCCTGTCTCTGTCTTCTTTCTAAACATCCCCCCTTATTTATTTTTAAGTCTGTTATTGGTCTAAGACAGGGCTTTTTTTTTTTTTTTTTTTTGAAACGGAGTCTCGCTCTGTCACCCAGGCTGCAGTGCAGTGGCACAATCTCTGCTCACTGTAACCTCTGCCTCCCGGGTTCACGCCATTCTCCTGCCTCAGCCTCCCGAGTAGCTGGGATTACAGGTGCCTGCCACCACATCCAGCTAATTTTTTGTATTTTTAGTAGAGATGGGGTTTCACCACGTTGGCCAGGCTGATTTCAAACTCCTGACCTCAGGTGATCCACCTGCCTCGGCCTCCCAAAGTGCTGGGATTACAGGCGCAAACCACTGCGCTTGGCCGAGACAGAGTGTTTGTCCCACTCGGCATCTGAGTCTGTCTCCCTGTGCTGTCATCAGCCTGTCCCTAGGCTGAGTAGTGCTGGAGCCTTCAAGGGGCTGTTCGGGGTTTTGGAGAGAGCCTCTTATGGGAGGGGCTGGCCGCTTCCTGCTCAGCGCCACGCAATGCTGTTGTCCCAACCTTAGATCTGTTTATGGAGCCCCTGAGGGATATGTGTGGAGGGGTGCGCGTGCCTGCGTGCAAGCACGTCTGTGTATGCATTTATGCCTGCGTACCTGTTCACGTATGTCAGTCGAGACTGTCCTGTTAACACATGGATAAAACCAGGCCTAGACACTATGTCTCTGGCCTGTGGCAGCCAAATTAGAGCTGGCCAGTCCAGGTTTGAGCCCAGTTGCCTGCTGGTGAGAAGCTCAAAACCATGGGGCACAGTGAGGCAGGCTTTGAGTTCAGCAAATAAAGCGTTTGTGTTGGTTTTGCCTCACGTGCTTTTTTGCATTAGTCTTCAGTTCTCAGCTTTGTACCTGTAGAAGGGGAAAAGGCCTTACGTCTTTGGGGCCTGGGGCCCTCGGCCTCCTGCTCACCCGTTGCTTCAGGCCACACAGGATCTCATTCCGCTATTCATCCAGCAGACGTTGCTGAGCCCTGGCTGGGCACCGACTCACCAGGGTCTCCCAGCCTGGCAGGTGGAAGGGCCTGCCTGGTGCTGCCCTGCAGGTGCTGTGAGGGTCCAGAGCTATCAGCCCCTGGTAGGGGGAGACTGGGGGGCAAGGGCCCACTGGGGCCTCTGTTACGGGGAACCATCCTGGCCTGAGAGGCACCAGGTGGATGGGGTGGGGTGACTCTTGTGGCCGTGTCCTCTCTGGGTGTGGCTTCAGGCAGGCGCTGGTCGACCACTACAGCAAGCTCTCTGCAGAGGCAGCTCGTCGGGAGCAGAAGGCGCTGTGGCGAATCCAGAGGCACCGACTGGAGAGTGCACGGCTTCGTTTTCTCTTAGAAGATGAGAAACACATTCAGGTATCTCTGTGGCTTTAGGTGGCAGCTCTTTCCCTGGGCTTTGGGGGTCTGGGCACCCCCGAGACTGCACACAGACCTGTGTGCTCTTCTAGGAGAGGACTGGTGGCTCTCGTGTTTGCAGCAGAGCACTGTCTCTCTCCCTGCGTGCCACCAAATTGCACAGATACAGGCAGTGAGGAGCTCGTGGTTTTGAAGTACTTTCTGCAGGCCCAGGGTCCCAGTGGAGCCCAGCACAAGCCTTGTCTGGTTCAGTACACACAGCTGCCATGGGCGGTAGGGGCCGTGCTTGACTCCAGCTCTGCTGCTCACCCCTCTGGCTTGAATTTACAGGAGATGCTGAAAGCAATGTCTGAGGCTCACCAGCCCCAGGAGCCGCCAGACGTCCTCGTGAGCGTGCACCCCCAGGTGAGTGGCGGAGCGGAACCCAGGGTGCCCTAGCTCTGAGCCAGGGGTGCCGGGCCTGGTGGTTTCCCCATAGCCCTGGGCACCTCATGTCGGTCATGGCTGCACAGCTGAACTTGGGGGACAGTTCGAGGGCTGGGGGAGCCTGAGACCAGACTGGGTCTTGATGTCACTTGTGTTTCAGGTCTCATCTCCGGGCCCTGAGGACCCAGAGGGAGACCAAGGCTGTGATGCTGGGCCTGCGGAGCAACACTCAGCTGCCTGGGATGGCCGGAACAGGCCAGGCCTGCCGACCCCACAGTCCCTTAAGCCTCTAGCAATGGGGGCTGGTGGCACAGGGCTGCAGCAGGCGGAGGAGGCTGGACCCTTCTCTGACAGCCTCAGCATTGGAGACTTCCTACCTGTGGGCCCAGGGGCTGAGCAGTCCTTGCAGACTGGCGTGGTCCCTCTCCTGGAGGCAGCGCTGCAGACCATCAACTTGGACCTGCCCCCCTCAGCTCCTGGGGAGGCACCCGCAGCAGCCAGCACTCAGCCTTCCAGGCCACAGGAGTACGACTTTAGTACTGTCCTGAGGCCAGCTGTGGCCGCTTCACCTGCACCAGGACCCCTGCAGGCTGCAGAGTGCAACTTGGGCAGCTCAGGGCCACAGCTGTGGGAGGACAGTTGTGGGAAGCTGGATGCCTGTGGCTCCACCTTGCAGGTGGCTCTGTCCCCCTCACACCCACCCAGGCGTGCCGCTCTGAAGGAGGGGAGCAGCCAGCCCGCAGAGCAGCTCTTCGGGCATGAGTCAGGAGGTGGTCTTCCCACAGGGGGCTATGCTTCTGAAACAGCTCTTACCCGGCCACAGTGGAACATCCATGGGCACGTGTCTGATGCCAGCATCGGGGTCGGGGAGAACGTGTCAGAAGTGGCTCCCACCCGGCCACGGTGGAACATCCATGGACACGTGTCCGATGCAAGCATCAGCTTGGGGGAGTCTGTGTCCGAAGTGGCTCCCACTCGGCCACGGTGGAACACCCATGGACACGTGTCCGACGCCAACATCAGGGTCGGGGAGAACATGTCGGACGTGGCTCCCACCTGGCCACGGTGGAACACCCATGGACATGTGTCTGACGCCAGCATCATCTTGGGGGAGCCTGTGTGGGACGTGGTTCCCACCCGGCCACGGTGGAACACCCACAGACACGTGTCTGACGCCAGCATCAGCTTGGGGAAGCCTGTGTCGGACGTGGTTTCCACCCGGCCACGGTGGAACACCCATGCACCCGTCCCTCTGCCCCACATGATGCTGGGGGCTGTCTCACCAGAAGCTGAGCCCAACACACCCAGGCCCCAACAGAGCCCCGCTGGCCACACGTCCCAGTCAGCGCTCAGCCTGGGAGCACAGAGCACTGTGCTGGACTGTGGGTCACGGCTGCCTGTAGAAGTGGGGCCATCTCTGTCCTCCCTCAGCTCAGGCTGCGGGGAGGAGAGCATCAGCATCGGGGAGAACGTGTCAGACGTGGCTCCCACCCAGCCATGGTCGCCCAACACCCCGGGAGATGGCGTCTCTGAAGAACTAGGTGAGAGTAGGGTGGCTGGTGGCCAGGATTGGGACTGTGGGACCCACACAGCCTGGGAGGTAGGCAGGCGGTGGGGTTGGTGGCATGTGAAGCTCCCCTCAGGCCTCCTTTGTCAGCCAGGACCTGGGCTGCTGTTTGGGGGACATGGGAGGGGGTGCTTGAGCCCGGAGCGGCTCTGCTCCATTCCCTTCACAGGCGCTGGGCCCTGACGCCCTCTTGTCCACTTGTGTCCACACAGGCCCTGGGAGGAGCGGGGACACTGAGGAGCCTCTGAACTCACAGGTTAGGTGGATGCAGCCTGGGGGGTCCCACAGCAGGCAGGGAGGCTCCGTCCCTCCAGGTTATCACGCGGGGGGGTCCCACATGCGGTTTTCCTTTTTTTGGCTCGAGCTGGGAGTTGCAGAAGTGTGTGGTGGGGAGGTGGTTCTGAGGCTGGTGTTTTGTTAGGAAAACGCAGCTGCCCAGAGCAGCCCAGGCCCTGGTGAGGAGGCGGCAGTGGCGGCGGAGGCTCAGGGCGGTGAGCAGGCCTACCTGGCAGGCCTGGCAGGGCAGTACCACTTGGAGCGGTACCCGGACAGTTACGAGTCCATGTGTGAGTGCAGCAGCTACTGCTGGCAGGGAGCGCTGGGCTGGCCGGTTCCCAGCACTTGCTCCATCTCCTGTGGGCGGGGGTGGAGCCCTGGGCCACCGGTTCCCAGTACCTGCTCCATCTCCTGCAGCTGAGCCACCCATCGCTCACCTTTTGCGCCCTGTGCTTCCCCGGGCCTTCGCCTTTCCCGTGGACCCCCAGGTCCAGTCTGCCGCGGATGAGACTGCCGTGCAGCTGAGCGAGTTGCTGACGCTGCCCGTGCTCATGAAACACTCCATCACGGCACCATTGGCCGCCCAGTGAGTGCCCCCGCCCCAGCCTGCCCACCCAGCCCGTCCTGGCCCGCCCTGACTCCAGCTCCCTCCTGCCAGCATCTCCTTGGTGAACAAGGCTGCCGTCGACTACTTCTTTGTGGAGCTGCACCTGGAGGCACACTACGAGGCGCTGCGGCACTTCCTGCTGATGGAGGACGGCGAGTTCGCCCAGTCCCTCAGCGACCTCCTCTTTGAGAAGGTGACCTCCGGACATGGAGTGGGGCCAGTGGTAGAGGGGAGGCCGTGGGAAAGGGGAGACTGGTTGCAGGCCCACAGCCCCATGGGGCGCCAGTGAGTGCCAGGCATGTGCTTGGGATTCCTGGGGACACTGGTCCCTTTTCTGTCCAGCTTGGGGCCGGGCAGACACCCGGGGAGCTGCTCAACCCGCTGGTGCTGAACTCTGTGCTGAGCAAGGCCCTGCAGTGCAGCCTGCATGGGGACACCCCGCACGCCTCCAACCTCTCCCTCGCCCTCAAGTACCTGCCCGAGGTGTTTGCCCCCAACGCCCCAGATGTGCTCAGCTGCCTGGAGCTCAGGTACAAGGTCAGCAGCAGCCCCGGCCACGGGGATGGGACAGGGGCTGCCCGTGGGACACCTGCTGAGCCATGTGTCCCTGTAGGTGGACTGGCCGCTCAATGTTGTCATCACTGAGGGCTGCCTGAGCAAGTACAGCGGCGTCTTCTCCTTCCTGCTGCAGCTGAAGCTCATGATGTGGGCGCTCAAGGATATCTGCTTCCACCTCAAGCGCACAGGTGAGGCCCCACCGGAGCTCGGCGCCCCACACCCCTGGCTTGAGGCCGCGCTCACCTCTGCCCTCTGCCCTCTGCCAGCCCTGCTGAGCCACATGGCCAGCTCCGTGCAGTTCCGCCAGCTGCAGCTGTTCAAGCATGAAATGCAGCACTTCGTCAAGGTCATCCAGGGCTACATCGCCAACCAGATCCTGCACGTCACCTGGTGCGAGTTCAGGGCCAGGCTGGCCACCGTGAGCGACCTGGAGGAGATCCAGCGTGCACACGCAGAGTACCTGCACAAGGCCGTCTTCAGGTGAGGCCCGGGCAGCGGCTGCGTCCCTGTGGTCGCGGCTGAGCCCACCCAGCAGCACTGCCTCCCCGCAGGGGCCTGCTCACGGAGAAGGCGGCGCCTGTCATGAACGTCATCCACAGCATCTTCAGCCTCGTGCTCAAGTTCCGCAGCCAGCTCATCTCCCAAGCCTGGGGCCCCGCTGGGGGCCCGCGGGGTGCAGAGCACCCCAACTTTGCACTCATGCAGCAGTCCTACAACACCTTCAAGTACTATTCCCACTTTCTCTTCAAAGGTGAGGCCCACCCTGGCTGGGAGGGCTGTGGGGGGGGCAGGGCGGGGCTCCCACCATGGGCAGAAGCCTGAGCGACTCACGGGTCCCTAGTGGTGACCAAGCTGGTGAACCGCGGCTACCAGCCCCACCTGGAGGACTTTCTGCTGCGCATCAACTTCAACAACTACTACCAGGACACCTGAGGCTGCTCTGCGGGGGACATGCACAATAAAGGTGTCCTCAGACCCTGTCTGCATCTCTCTCTCCTGGGCAGGGCTGAGGGCAGGGCAGGGTGGGGGAAGAAGAACCACAGATGGGCCTGAGGGAGCTGCTGGTTTATTTAGGAGCCTGGGTCCAGCCCCCAGGGACCAGGCTGCACTGCTGAGCTGGCCTCAGACAGAGACGGGTCAGGTCCTGACTGGATGTCTCTGCCATCATGGAAAGACAGGTGTGCATGGGCCCAGGCAGGATCCCCCAGTGCAGAGGGCAGCCCAGCACCGTCTTGGCCACTCAGCAGCACACGGGGGCCTCGGGAGGCTCCAGGGGTGTGGAGCGCGTGCCGAGGCCATTACGAAGATCATGTCACACACAGTTCGGCTGCCCAGAGCGGGGGCTTACTGCTGTAGGAGCGCTGCCTGCCATCCGCCCCGTCGGCCTCCGTGGCCTCGGGATCTGTGGCAGCCCCCGCCTCGCAGTGGTAAGGGTTCTCCAGTAGCTTCAGCACCCGCCGCACCTGGAGGATCGTGAGGGTGAGAGGGGTCCGGGGCCATCCCCCCATCCCAGGGACCACAGGGACAGGCCTGTGCTTGCCTCTGAGAAGTCCCCGCGCTCGGCAGCCTCGATGGCATTCTGCGCGATGTAGTTCCTCAGCACGTACTTGGGGTTGTTGGCGTGCATCACGCGCACACGCTCAGCCTGCCAGGCAGCAGCATCCCTGGCGCCTTCCAGGTCCTTGTCCAGCCGGGCTCTGGAATGACAGTCGGGCTCTGGAATCACAGCCGGGCTGGACTTTCCCAGCAGCGCCCCCCACCAGGTGACCATGGACGCAGGGCTCACCTGTACGCCTGCAGCCAGTCGGCCCAGTGGCCCTGGTTCCGGCTCTGCAGCTCTGCCATGCTTAGCTGCTCCAGCCGAGACTGCTGCTCCACACGCTCCAGCTCCCTGGCAATGCCTGCCCGGGTGCCCATGAGTGCGAACAGCTGCGGGTTTGACTGTGCCAGCATCAGCATCATGGATAGCTGCCTGTGGGGAGGCCAGGGTGTCTGGGAGGTAGCCCCTGACCGTGTCCCTGCCCCACAGGCAGCTGCTCCTCCTGCCCCAGGCTGCTCTCACGGCTCACCTGGAGTCCAAGGGCCCAAGCAGCCCAGTCCCCAAGGTCCCTTGAACTCCACTAGCAGGGATGGACCCAGTGGACACACACCAGTCATGTCCATGCTCTGCTGCCCAGCTTTCTGCTGGAGAGTCTCCGCCTCCAGAGTTTAATGCTTGTGGGACGGGCACTGCTATTAGCGCTTCCCTCATTTCCAGAAGGGTCCAGGTGGGCTGGGGCCACCCTTTCTCCAGTGGAGGGGGTTTCACGCTCAGCAGGGCCTGCTGGCCGGCGCTCCCACCCAACCCCACTAGTCTTGTTTTTTAAGTTAAAAGCAGCAACACTTTCCACGTCTCAGCCTGCACATGGGCGGGAATCTTCAGACGGGACGGCCCTTCCGTTTGGAAGATGGTGTGGGAAAGCTTGACCTCTGGGAGCCCATCCTCCCTGGAAACCCAGAGGCTTTCCCTGAAGCCCAACCACAGCCGAGACCACGGTCTCCCCCCACACCTGTGTCAGCCTCGCCGCCCTCTCCTCTCTGACCAACGGGCCCCAGCACCACAGAGACGCCCTGACTGCGCCTGTCCCTGGGAGCGGAGCAGCCACCTGGGCACCAGCCAGCCCTGCCTCCAGCTTCTCCTCCGGCCTGTTTCTGATTGTGCCTCCCCTTCTGGAAACAAATCCAAGGAAGTAGGAACTGAGTACCCACCGGGGATCCATCTGGGGCCGGAAGGCCAGCCTCAGCTCCTCCAGGGAGGCACATTGCTCCATCAGCCTGGCCAGGAACTCTGCCAGGCCTGGCGACTCCAGCTCCACTGGGAAGGAGCTCAGCAAGAAGAAGGTGTTTGTGAAGTCAGCACCTGGAACACAGGCTGCTCAGGGAGCTGGAAGCAGAAGGCCCAGGGTCCCTGTCCTGGTGCCGTACAGAGCCCCCCAACCCTCGCCCCCGCCAGCACACGTGCTGCATGGGCCCACATGCTCCATCCCCCACCCCCACCCCAGCACGGACCCACACAATCCCCGACCCACACCCTCCACCTGGCACAGGTGCCATACAGACCCACACACTACCCCAGAGGACCCACACCCTCACCCCAGCACAATGCCACACGGACCCACACCCAGCAAGGATGCCACAGAGACCCACATGGACCCAAACGCTGCCCCCAGCACAGGTGCCACATGAGCCCTGCTCAGTACTGGTCCGGGGACTCCTGAGCCCTCCACACCCCACTCCTCCACCCATCCACCGCCCAGGCGGCTGCCACTTGCTCTGGCCCTGCAAGTCACCTGTGAAGTGGGCTAACACCGAGAAGGCACAGAGGCTGCTGCCCGGCCCTCACATCCTCAGTCACGACTGCCTGCTTTAGGAGCTAGCGAGTGTTGAGGAGAGGCTGTCACCAGCCTGCAAAAGGCCCAACTGTGACAGACACTGCGATCCTCCCCAACTCTGGAAAACAGCTGTCTCAAAACCACAGTGACCCTAAGACAACGTCTAAAAATGAGAAGGGAGCCAAAGCAACATACTACAAAAAAGTCAACTACACACAAAGGCAGCAACAGAGAACGTGACGGACCAAAAACATGGCAGAGGTAGTTCCTTATCAGTAATCTGAAAGCAAATGGATCTCTCCAATGAAAGGCAGCTTGGCAAAGTGGGCGAAAAGACAATTTCCATGCTATCACCACACGATCTGCAAGACGTTCAAAGACACGAACAGGCTGGAAGTGAAAGGATGAAGAAACCCAGGCAAAGAGTAACCTAAAGAGAGCTGAGGTGACTATTATACTCACATTAGATAAGTTTTCTATTTTTTGAGATGGAGTCTTGCTCTGTTGCCCAGGCTGGAGTGCAGTGGTGCAATCTCGGCTCACTGCAACCTCCGCCTCCCAGGTTCCAGCAATTCTCCTGCCTCAGCCTCCCAAGGAGCTGGGATTACAGGCACCTGCCACCAGGCCTGGCTAATTTTTGTTTTTGTTTTTGTATTTTTGAGATGGAGTCTCACTCTTGTCGCCTGGGCTGGAGTGCAGTGGCGTGATCTCAGCTCACTGCAACCTCCGCCTCTCGCGTTCAAGTGATTCTCCTGCCTCAGCCTCCTGAGTAGCTGAGATTATAGGCGCCCACCACCACGCCTGGCTAATCTTTGTATTTTTAGTAGAGATGAGTTTCACTATGTTGGCCAAGCTGGTCTCAAACTCTTGACCTCTGGTGATCCGCCCGCCTTGGCCTCCCAAAGTGTTGGGATTACAGACGTGATCCACCACGCCTGGCCAGAGAAGATTTTAAATAAAAAATTGTCAGAAGGGCTGGGAAAGGTAGCTCACCCCTGTAATCCTAGCTACCTGGTAGGCTGAGGCGGGAGGAGATAACTGGAGCACAGGAGGTGGAAGCTGCAGTGAGCTGTGACTGTGCTACTGCACTCCAGCCTGGGCAACGAAGTGAGACACCAAAAAAAAAGTTACAAGAAATAGCATTATATACGGCAAGAGTCAGTTCATCAATAAAATGTAAAAATTATGAACATGCACCTACATGCACCCAGTAAGAAAGCCCTAAAATGTACAAACGTTGGCAGAATGGAAGGGACAGAGAACAAACAGTTCTATCTATAGTAAGAGTTGGAGACTTAAACACATCACTTAATAATGGATAGACCATCTAGGGTCAGGCGCAGTGGCTCATGTGTGTAATCCTAGCACTTTGGGAGGCTCAGGCGGGCGGATCACAAGGTCAGGAGATCAAGACCATCTTGGCTAACACGGTGAAACCCCGTCTCTACTAAAAATACAAAAAATTAGCCGGGCGTGGTGGCGGGACCTGTAGTCCCAGCTACTCGGGAGGCTGAAGCAGAAGAATGGCGTGAACCCGGGAGGTGGAGCTTGCAGTGAGCCAAGATCGTGCCACTGTACTCCAGCCTGGCCTGGGCGACAGAGCGAGACTCAGTCTCCAAAAAAAAAAGCGTCTAGACAGGAGATCAATGAGAAATGGAAGACCTGAACAACAGCCTAAACCAACAAGACCAAACAGGCATATACACAGAACACTCCTCCCAGCAGAACAGAGCATACCGTCTTCTCCAGGGCACACGGGACGTTCTCCACGATAAGCCACAAAACAAGTTGTAATAAACATAAAAAGGCTGACATCTCTAGCCACAATGGAATGAAGCTAGAAATCACTTAAAAACATAACACACTGGCCGGGCGCGGTGGCTCATCCCTGGAATCCCAGCACTCTGAGAGGCTGAGGCAGGCAGATCACTTGTGGTCAGGTGTTGGAGACCAGCCTGGCCAACATGGTAAAGCCCCATCTCTACTAACAATACAAAAATTAGCCAGGTGTGGTGGAGCATGCCAGTAGTCCCAGCTACTTGGGAAGCTGAAGGAAGAGAATCACTTGAGCCTGGGAGGCGGAGGTTGCAGTGAGCCAAGATGGTGCCACTGCACTCCAGCTTGGACGACAGAGCGAGACTCTGTCTAAAAACCAAAAAAACACAAAACACAACATACCAAAATTGATGGACACAGCAAAAGCAGTGACCAGAAGGACATGCACAGCTGTAAATGGCTACACTGAAGAAGATCTCCAATCAGTTACCTCACCTCACGCCTAAGGAACTGGAGAAAGAAGAGCCAAAATTAGAGGGAGATAAGAGACTGAAAAACAGAGAAGCCACACACTGCGTAACTTACACGAAGGCTTTAGAGCAGTCAGGTTCACAGACTCAGAGCAGAGTGGCTGCTACCAGGGGCTGCAGGGAGGGGAATGGGGAGCTGGTAATCGGCTCGCACAGGGTTTGGGTTGCAGATGTGAACAAGCTGCAGGGCTCAGCTGTATAGCACTGCTCCTGCGTCAGCTATGATGCGCTGTGCACCTCCTGTGCACTCCACAGTTTAAGAGGATAGATCCATGTGGTGTTCCTACCACATAAAATTGTTTTTAAAAAACTGTTATGAACAATTGTATGCCAAAATTACCTACAAGACATGGACAAACTACGTGACACAGAAAATTCCTAGAAACACAAATTACCAAAACTGACTCAAGAAGAAAGGAAAATCTAAACTGATCTAAGACAAGCAAGGAGACTGATCAGTAATCCAAATTTTTCCAACAAAGAAAAGGCCAGGACCAGATGGCTTCACTGGTGAATTCTACCAAATACTCTTAAGAACAAATGGCAAAAAATCCTTTGCAAACTTTGAAGAAAAAAATGGAAGATGGGGGAATACCTCCTAACTCACTCCGAGGCCAGCACCACCTTGACATCAAAGCCACACACTAAAGAAAAAACAAAGCAAAACTATAAGCCAGTATCCCTTACGCATACAGATGCAAAAATCCTCAAAATACTCACAAAATTCAGCATATTAAAATAATTATACAGCATAGGCTGGGCGCGGTGGCTCACGCCTGTAATCCCAGTACTTTGGGAGGCTGAGGCAGGCAGATCACCTGAGGTCGGGAGTTCGAGAGCAGCCTGACCAACATGGCGAAACCCCATCTTTACTAAAAATACAAAATTAGCCGGGCATGGTGGCAGGTGCCTGTAATCCCAGCTACTTGAGAGACTGAGGCAGGAGAATCACTTGAACCCGGGAGGTAGAGGTTGCAGTGAGCCAAGATCATGCCATTGCACTCCAGCCTGGGCAACGAGAGTGAAACTCTGTCTCAAAAAATATTAAAAAATAATAATTATATAGCATATTAAAAGGACCAAGTAAAATTTATCCCCAGAATGCAAGGAGATATGAGTGAAATAATAAAATCACATCACCATCTTCATTGCAGGAAAAAGCGTTTGATAAAATGCAGTAGCCTTTCATGGTAAAGGCACTCTGAAAGAAAACTTCAGCATGGCAAAAGCTGTATGTTAAAAAGCCCACAGCTAACATCACACTCAACGGGTGAAACACCAAACACTTTTTCCCGAAGGTTAGGAACACGAAAAAGATGCCCATCTCAGCTACTTCTATTCAATATCCACGTCCTAGCTAGGGCACCCCAGTGAGTGATCCACATAACCCAGCAGTCCTACCAACTGTACACCACGAGACTGAGAGCAGGCATCAGAGAGCTTTGCACTCACTTTCACGGCAGCACTGCACACAACACACAATATACCGTACACAACAGCCAGAAGAGGAGCGTGTACGCCAGTAGGTCATGGATAAGCAAACTGTGGCCTGTCCACGCAACGGGATGCTTCTCAGACTTCAAACGGAATAAAATCCTGATATGAACCTGGATGAACATTGAGGACCTTCTGCTAAGTGAAATAAGCAGTCACCAAGGAACAAACACCATATGATTCCACTCGCAGGAGGCCCCTAGATTCACCAAATCCATAAAGACAGAGAGTAGAATGGGGGTGCCAGGGGCTGGGGCGGGCCCAGGGAGTGACTGTGCACTTGGAAACTGGAAGCTGGAAGGTAAACCATCTCTAACCACAATAGCACAGGAAGCGCCTCGCTGTGGGCACAGCTGGGTCACTCACCGGTCAGGTGCATGGTCTCCAGGAGCTTGGACACCAGCGCCCTGTCTTCCTCCAGCTCCAGCTGCACAAGGCCCAGCTTCCTGCGCATCTTCTGCATGTAGTGCCTTTGGAACTCGGCATCAAACTCCTCGGCCAGGATGGCCTCGCCCAGCTCCAGGGGCAGCTCTGGCTGCAGGGCCTCGGCCAGCTTCTGCAGGTTCCACTTGCACACCTCCGGCTGCTTGCTGTATGCGTAGCGGCCGGTGTTGTCGGAGGCATTGCACACGTGGTCAGGGTCGTACCTGCCACACAGGGCAAGAGAGCCACGCCCTGCCTGAGGGGAAGTTCCCAGGAGATGGTGCAGGCACCCTGGAGGGGAGGCCCAGAGGAAGTTCCCACGTGGCCATGGCTCTCTGGCCCTGTCCCACAGGGGTCCTGTCTCAACAGCCTCCGCCCAAGGCCTCCGGGATTGCCCTGGACTCTCTACTTCCTCCATCAGCCCCCAGCCCCCGTCGGCATCATGGGCCAGTGCCTCGGGGCAGCAGGCTTCATGCAGCTTGCACCCCCCAGCCACTTACCTGTCCAGGAAGCCGAAGGGCCCGTAGTCGATGGTGAGCCCCAGGATGCTCATGTTGTCGGTGTTGAGCACGCCGTGGCAGAAGCCCACGCACTGCCACTCAGCCACCATCCACGCCGTGCGCCGCGTCACCTGGGGGCGGGACAGCGTGCTTGCTCCCTCCTCCGGGTCCTGCCCAGACCCCCCAACTCGTGTCCATCCTTCCCCTCCCGGAAACCAGCTGTGCTTCGCTGAGTGACTCTCACTCTGGTACTTCTGGGCAATGTGTCCCGATGTCCTGTCACCGCCTCCACCACAGTGTGGCAATGCAGAGTGTGTGTCAAGGTTTCTCAAGCCCACTCACAGCATCCACTCTTTTATATGCTCACAAAACTTGGCTTTTACCCAAACTAGAAAAATCAGGGAACCCCAGACGCAGGCCCAGTAGAGACCCCAAAGAAGCAGGGAAGGGTCAGCTCACTAAGGGGCCGCACCTGCCCCAGGGCCAGGCCACTGTCCATCCTGGTGCCACCACCACCCTGCCGGCCT